CCCCCCCCCCCCATAGATTTGAAAAAGAACCAAATAAAACTTAATGAATTGACAAATATAACTGTTGAAAATAAAAAAAAAACCCTCAGTGGATATGTTATTCGGCAGATTGTACATTACTGGAGAGAATCAGCTAGAAAGTAGATCTGAAGAAAGCACCCAGAATACAGTACAGAGAGACAAGAAGGAAACTATAAATGAGAAATTAAGAGTTATGGAGGGGCTGGGTACAGTGGCTCACACCTGTAATCCTAGCACTCAGGGAGGCCGAGGCGAGAGGATCACTTGAGGTCAGGAGTTCAAGACCAGCCTGAGCAAGAGTGAGACCCCATCTCTATTAAAAATAGAAAAATTAGCCAGGCGTGGTGGTGCATGCCTGTAGTGCCAGCTACTCGGGAGGCTGAGGCAGGAGGATTGCTTGAGCCCAGGAGTTTGAGGTTGCTGTGAGCTTAGCCTGGGCAACAGAGCGAGACTCTGTCTCAAAACAAACAAACAAACAAACAAACAAAACCCAAAAAACAGATTGTCCACATAGAAAACCCCAAACCAAAAGAATTTACAGACAAATCTTTGGAAATAAGGGTTTAGAAAAGTTTTCCAGCTACAAAATCAATATGCAAAATTCGAATGCATTTCTATATACCAGAAACATATTAAAACAAGACACCATTTACAAAAACTACAAGGTACCTAGGAATCAAACAAAAGACGTGAAAGATCTACATAAGAAAAATCATAACAGTTTATTGAAAGACATTAAAGAAGACATAAGTAAATGGAGAGAGATCCCATGCTCATGACCAGGAAGAGTTGCTATGTCAGTTCTCCAGAATTGATCTTTATAGATTAAATGTAATTCCAATCAAAATCTAATTATGGTTCAAACATAGTTACATACCAATGTTAACAGCAGCATTACTTACAATAGCCAAAAGGTGGAAACAAAACAAGTGTCCCCAACTTATGAATGGATAAACAAAATGTGGTCTATCCATACAATGGAAAATTATTCAGCCATAAAAAGGAATGAAATTCTGATACACGCTACAACATGGATAAACCTTGAAAACATTATCCTAAGGGAAATAAGCCAGACACAAAAGGCCACATATTGTGTGATTTTATTTATATAAG